CATCGACGAGCACCGTGAGGCCTTCAAGGTCCTGGGGCGCTTCTTGGACGGCGACGAGATCGGCGTCGAGCACGCGTTCAACAGGTTTTAAAGAAAACGCCGACGCTAAATCTATCGCATTATCAAACGCTTTCACTAGTTGGCTGTCGGCTTGGGCAAGACTGTGCCAAGACCCGTGGCGTCGCCTGGGCTCTGCACGACGACGTTGCGCGACTTTTTGTGCAAAACGTGCGCGGGCACCGTCGGGAGCCCGATACCTTCGTGCCACTCGGTCATCGTCCACGCATCTACACCGCATTCACCAATTCTCTGTATGCTACAACGTACTTGTCGTCGCTGGCGCAGGCGCGTCCGGGTGTGCCTGCTGTGGGAAGGTCACGTAAAAGATGGGGCTAAAGTCGCGGCAGCGAAAGATACACCCGATGCCGACGCAAAAGCACATGTAGAGTCCCTCGAGCACGAGGGGCACGAGACCGCCCATCGTGACGGGCACGATCTGGTGGAGCGCTACGTTGAGAAAAAAGACTGCGACGAAGTACACGACGAGGCCTCGCCGGAACGCCACAAAGAGCCGCAGCTTGGACGCCACGGGTGTCGTGTGAGGGTCGATGAGCACCCCTGCGATCAAGTCCATTTGCAAGTGCAAAATGGCAATGTTGAACGCCATGCGCGACCACACCCTAGTGGCATATCAACTTGATACTTTGAAACGATGATGTAATACGTGTAGACGAGGCACGTCCAGAGGCAGCACCAGATTACAAAGACTATGAGCGGTGCGGCCGTCGCGCCGTCGACAATCGAGAGCGCTAACGCCCACGCGAGCGAGAGGAGCCGGTACTGGACGTTCAGTAGCGTGCCCAAGTCGTCGCGCGTGATCTTCCAGCCGTGCGCGATCAGCAGCATCTCGTTGGCTGCCGTTGCGAGCGACACCACGCGACAGAAAAGGGTGGCGACGAAGAGGCCGCGCGAGAGACCGCTCTCGCTGTGGTTGTGGATCGCGGTCAGCGCCATATAGACACACTACAAAAGCGGTTAGAACCGATATCGTGGATCAACGCGTACTTCTGCAAAGGGCACGAGGAGCATGTGTCGCTGGAGCGCGATAAACGCGTGGCGAAAATGATACATGTGCCCCCCCCAGACAAGCACGAGAAGACCCCACACGAGCGCAAATGCGGCGTAGAGCAGCGCGAGCCCAAAGGTGGTCCCGTTCCCAAAGCAAATTTTGTTCCCGGGACACAGCATCCAAGAGAAAGCACCCTGCAGCTTGAGCGGCGGCGCCGAAACGTCGCTTATGAGCGCACACAAATCAAGCAGCACGTCATAGTCGTCACGACCGCCTATAACCCTTCCTTTTAGTCGCAGAATTGACGTATAAGAGGACACCGTCTGTGTTGAGTACGCCTGCGACCTTCGCGCTGCCTTTGTTCAAGGCACCCGAGGTGAGCGCCACTGGGTACGAGTCGCACTGGGCGGTGACCGTGCCTCGACACATCGAGTCGTTGTAAGGTACCATGCCAGCGCTGGTCATGGCGATTTCAGGCGAGAAATGGCTGGAGGTGCAGAAGCGCAGAAACATAAATGTGTGGGGCGGTGGAAGCTTGTCGACGGCCACATCGATCGAGAGCGTGAACGTATCTCTGCCAGCCGTGTTGGTTGCATTGAAGCGCACGAGATCGAGCAGGTAGACCGAGGTAAAGTCGAACGCCGTTGTTGCCCCGCGTTGATGGTTGTTCCTTGAAGACACGGCGAGTGTCACTGCCAGCAGCAGCAACGCTGTGTGCAGCACGCGCATCTACGATCTGAGTCGTCGAGTCTATATTAAGCCCAGCAACCGGTCTCAAATCGCCGTTATCTGATGCGATAGCTTAACGTTCGCAATGCCAACACCACTCACGGGCGATCCATTTGATTGCACAAGCACACTGCGCCGCTGGTACAGATTCCACAAGGCACCACGACGGTTCAGATCTTATGGGACCAGTTGAGCTCAAGTTCGTATAGGCTTGTACTCGGCGCAAGCATGGCGAGCCGGTTGTATTTGCTGCATGTCAGTGCAGCGCCTCGACAAGCAGCCCGCGAGCGACGGCTTGTGAATGCGAATTCTATATTTAGACAAGCCAATCGCAAGTGCCGAACGGGCCTTCGATATTACCAGTGCAACGAATATTCATTTTTCGACGCGCACGCCAATACGACGCATGGGGCTGCAGTGGGCGTGGTATGGCTCAGACCTCGGCGGGACGCGGCCGTGCGCCTCCACGTACGAGCTCTACAATACAGCGATTCCCGAGATTCCCGCCGCCAAGTACGCGAACTTGGCGTTCCTCCCGGACGCACCGCCCCGTACCGACCCTAAAGACGACGAAAGAGGCTTGCAGACGCGCGAGCTCCTGACGCGCCTCGAGACCACACACGCGCTGCCAGCAACGTTCAAGCGACTCATGGCCTCGCGAGAGCTCCAGGCGCTCGTACCGAGCTGCACGTCGTCGTACTTTTACCTCGGCGAGCCCGTGTACGTGCCGACGCTGGAGCTTACATTGCTCCTCTTCTACCGCGACCAGCAAGACTGCGTGCTTTGGTACCTCGTACTCGACGGCGCGCACGCAGGCTGCATTATCTCAGCGCCGCAGATTTTAAAGACGCCAGGCAGCATCGCCGACGACAACGGCGTGGACGACGCGGACGATGTGTTTACTGCGATCCAAGACGAAGCCGTTCGCTGCGCTGCGTCGTTCGACGAGTTCGTCTACCGAATCTGGGTCGAGAACCACATTTGGTATCAGCAAAACGGCGTCCCTCGCTGCGTGGACTCCACTGCATTCGTCCAGGCCGAGTGCGACTGGTACCTCGCGGCGACGAAATCGCTTAGCGGATAGGCCATCGTATCTCGATGGATCACTGCACCGATCCAAGATAGCTATCCAAGATAACATTCAATGAGTGATAGCATGGAATGGGCGAGATGCTTCTTCTCGATTGGATACCTCGCGCAATCAACATCTCGAGACTCTCGAGACTCTCGAGAGGGAGGGTCTCTGGCATTGCTCGCCACATCTCTTGTCGCTGGCGTCAGAGGTCCAAACTTCTGAGACAAAGACGGTAATAAGCTGACCTCAGTGTGAGCCTTGTTGATGCGAACGCCAACGCGCTCGGTATCCGTCGCATCATCCGAGCAACGTCCGCGACCTTCGCCGAGTCTCGTACCATCTGGTGGCATACTGCGGTCGCGTGACACGGATTTTCTGGACGCTTCAACATGGCGGTATACAAATTTCAAAACGCCTGCGAATTAACGCCCACGTATCGTGTCACGCAACCGCAGGGTTCGAACTTTTCGCGATCTTCCAACAAGGTTGCCAGTTTGCCTTTGGCCCCATGAAGCACGCGACGTCGAAACCTGCGGCGGCGGCGTCGCCCGAGACGCCCGCATCGACCTCCTGGACGGCGCACGTGCTCATTCACTACCGCTGGGTGTTTGTGTGCTTCTTCCTCCTCCCGCTCTCGTTCCTCTACGACGTTGCGTACTTTGTCCGGAGCCGCGTCATCTTTTACCTTAACTCGGCGCCGCACCAGCACAAGAGCCGCGTCGCTATCGTCCAGCGCCAGGTACGCGCCCCTACACAGCGACGCCGTCTAAGCAAGTTGGCGCAGGTGCGGCAATGGATTGCGACTGGGCGGGCGATGCCCATGTGCACGGCGCGGCCGGGCTGGCAAAACATCTCGTACCGTCGCGGCAAGTACAAGAAGACGCACTTTAACGTCAAAGTCGACATGATGGACATTCTCGAAGTCAACACGTCGACCAAGGTAAAGAGACAAGGTCTCGGATGCAGATCTTACGGACGCGTAGACGGTGCGCGTCGAGCCGCTCGTGACCATGGGCCAGCTCTCGGCGACGCTCAACCCGCTTGGGTGGACGCTCCCGATCATGCCAGAGCTTGACGACCTCACTGTTGGTACGGTCCGTGCAGCTTTGGCCGTGATGTCTCAATGTGGTACTAGGCGGCCTCGTCATGGGCACGGGCATCGAGACATCGTCGCACCGCCACGGTTTGTTCCAGCACATTTGCAAGTCGTACGAGCTCGTGCTTGCTGACGGTTCGGTCGTCACGTGCTCGAAAGAGTCGAACGCCGACCTCTTCTACGCCGTGCCCTGGTCCTACGGCACGCTCGGCCTCCTCACGGCGGTCGAAATCGAAATCATTCCGTGCCTCCCGTACAAGCCTCAATCGTACTTGCCTCTAAGAACTCATCACTCTCGCATTTAGCTACGTCAAGATCGAGTACACGCCCGTGACGTCGCTCGACGAAGCGTGCCGCGTCTTTGAGCAAAAGAGCAAGTCGGTCGACCACCACTTTGTGGAGGCGCTCATGTTCTCGCTCGAGACGGGTGTTGTCATGACCGGGTCCATGACAGCGTCATACGAACCGACCAAGGTACGAAATGACACTGCTCTCCCAGCCAAGGTCGCAATGTAGCTCAATGCGATTGGTACGTGGCACAAGCCGTGGTTCTTCAAGCACGTCGAGGGTATTCTGGCCAAGAAGAGAGCTGTGACCGAGTATATTCCTCTGCGCGACTACTACCACCGCCACTCGCGCAGCATCTTTTGGGAGCTCCAGGTACGCTGCACACTATTTTTTTGCGTTTTTGACGTGTCAAAGGACATTATTCCGTTTGGCAACAACATTGTCTTTCGGTACCTCCTCGGCTGGCTCGTGCCGCCCAAGGTGTCGCTCCTCAAGCTCACGCAAGGCAACGCGATCAAGCAGCTGTACGACAACCACCACTTTATCCAAGACATGCTCGTGCCCCTCTCGACCCTCGAGCCCTCGCTGCGGTGCTTTCATGACAACGTCCAGGTACTCGGACATGTCCTTGTTTACAAATCTCAAGCGGCGCAAATCTACAGATCTACCCGCTGTGGCTCTGCCCGTTCAAGCTCCCAAAGGAGCCCGGCATGCTCCAGACCAATTCGCAGGACGAGCTTTTTGTCGATATTGGCGCCTACGGTGTGCCGCAAGTCGACCATTTCCGCCCGATCGAGACCACCCGCCGTGTCGAAGAGTTTGTGCGCGGCGTCTCGGGGTACGTTGAGATTCAGATTCAGATTCGCATATCTCAGTCATGCCCGTAGCTTTCAAATGCTGTATGCCGACTCGTACATGACCGAGCCTGAGTTTGAAGCCATGTTTGACCACACGTTGTACAAGAAAATGCGCGTCGAGCTCCAATGCGACGGCGCGTTCCCAACTGTTTACGGCAAAGTTGCACGCGCGGTCCGTGACTAGAAACACCCATACATGAATCAAAATGTAGACTTGTTCATTGCGCCGTTAAGTCGTGCGGGCGTTCCTACGTAGAGCGCAGGTAGACCCAGCCGCCGTCGACCACAAGCGGCGACTCACAGCGGTGGGCCATAGCCATGTAGAGCGCAAAGGCGCGGCTGAGGCCGTCGTCCATCGCGCACGCCTTGAGCGTGGCGACGGCGGCGGCAGGGTCCAGGCGGCTCTGGTTCACCGCCAAGAGCGACGCCCATGCGTTCGTGGGAGCCAGCGAGAGCTTGCCGAGGATCTGGTGCCACTCTTCGGCGACAAAGGTCGGCGTCCGGACGTACTCAAGCATCGGCGTCACGGGCAGCATCTGGATGCCGTGGATGCACTCGCGGTTGGGGCTGAACCACGTGGCGTAGTCGGCCTTGTTGTCAAAGAGGATGCCGCTGACCTTGTTCTTGCGGAACGCCGGCGGGTGCGTCACGTTGTCGTCCGCAATCAGAAAGTACGTCTGGTGCGACAAGGCCACGAGCTTGAGCAAAAGGCGCGTGAGCGCGCAGAGTCTACGCCAATACTGCATGAGAAAATAGTATCAATGTATCGAGCGCGCACGGTGCGTTCTGGGTCGCGGTCGCAAAGAGGTGCGCGCCGTAGAAAAAGTTGAGTTCCTCCGACGTGCTCTCTTCGTCCTTGCCGTCGACCATCGGCGTCACGCCGTGCGAGTACGAGTGGCCGAGGAACCAATCAAAGTTGCGGAAAGTCGCAAAGTACACGTCGTCGCGAGACGGGTTGAGCGTGTCTCGGAGCAGCGTCTCGACAAAGCGGTGCAGACGCGACGTCTTGTCCACCCAGCTCGGGTCCAAGTGGTATGCGATCGCCACCGCTAGCACGCTTGGTGTGCATATATCTCGAGTCGACGTTGTACCTGTGATAAAGTAGCCGTAGTGGTAGTGGTGGTCGTTGTACACTGCGTTGCCTACATATTTTCTTGAGCCCCGAGGCCACGAGAGAAGTTACGTACCAAACTCGACGTTGATGTCGTGCTTCATGAACGCTTCCGAGGACACGATACCGCCGTAGACTAGCTTGCCAAAATGAAAATCCCATGTACATATCGATATCCCATACCAGTGTCGTACACGAGCGGGTACGTGCTCGCGTTCTCGCCCACGTTAGAGAGCAGCGCCTTGAACTTGGTCAAGGCTGCCGCTGCGAGCCCACCGAGCTCGGGACGCGACGTGGCGAGGTCGGCGGCCACGACGCAGAGGCTGCCGTACTTTTGAAGCGCCTTACCCTTGAAGTAATAGCTCGGTGGGAGCGACCACTCACCGTGGATCTCGTCCGTGAGGATTTGCACGAGGCCGTGGGCTGTCACGTCGGCGGGCGACGGGCGCATGGGCGGCAGTAGGCCTGTAAACAGGTCCAACTTGGCGTCTTCGGTCGCGGGAAACACCAGCGTCCACTCGTTTGACGCTGGCACGACGTGCGCGCGCATGGGGCCGCGCGAGTGGGCAAAGAGGCTCAAGGACGGAATTGCCTCGGCGCTCTGCAGCAGCGCTTCGTGGTGCGTGAGCGCAAAGTGTACAAAGGTTCGCGTCGGCGCTCCGACGTGGGCCACGTTGAAGGTGTACGCAAAGGCATGCGCGCTCTCGACGCGAAGCGTGACGCCGTTGACAAACGAGCCGGCGCAGGCCGCGTAAAGCGCTAGCACGTCGTCGGTCGGAACAAAGGCCGCTTGCACAACACCCGAGAACGGCGTCGTCGACGAGAACGACTGCGTGGCGACGTCAAAGGCAATGACGACGTTGGTCGACGATGCCGACGTCCACGCGACGAACCACCGTTGATCGTTGTTGAGCGTCACAACCATGCTGTTGGTCTTGACGTCGGCGCGGCCTACGAGCTGGCGGTCTCTGGCTGGCTGGCCGTCGATGGACACAAACGCGTGCTCGGACCCGAGTCGGAACGCCAGATTCGTGTACGAGAGCGACGTGAAGGCCTGGCCGAGGCTTTGGTATGAGCGCAGGGACGCGTCGCCCGCCGCAAAGGCGATCTGCACGCCAAAGTCGTCCCAGCGCTCGACTTGGAAGCGCGGCGCGGCGGCAAACAGGCCACAGAACTGCAGGTTCTCGACGCGTGGCGTAAAGTAGTACTTGATCGCGCCGTTCTCGTTGAGCGGGCCGTGGTGGACGTACTGGTGCAAGTAGCTGCACGCGATGGAGCCCGCCTTCTTCCGGATGAAGACGGCGTACGGGCTCGGGTAGATCGGGTCGATGTCATGGGACCCATTGTCCGAGAGGAGGTTGCCCCACCAATTGTTCGTCGGGACAACCAGCGGCATGTTGGAGACGACGCTCGTCGGCGAGATGAACTGGCGAAGCGCGTCCGTGCTCTTGAAGAGCGCTGGGTCCGGCGGCGCCGTCGCATGTGGCTGGAGCGGTAGCATCTTGCCCGGATATTGGAATGTGCAAGATCTCCATAAAACGAGGCGAGGCCATTGGATATAAAACAGCCAATAGCATAGCCGTATTCCATTTTCGCTTCAAGCCGGAATCAGGCGCCAGAGGCTCTGCTGCGGGCTCCCGCTCCGCCGTCTTGGCGGTGAGAATCTGCATGTGGCGTTGCTTGAGCTAAGCTAAGCTTAGTTGTTGCCTCAAAAGTCACTACAAACACACGAGTCACGCGACCATCTTCTAGCACTCGACAGTCTAGCCGCCATCGTTCAGACGTACGCTAGACAAAGCTGCCTACACCCTCGAGACACTCGGCTTGTACTAAAGCTCTGGATGCTGTCGTCCAGGGTTATTTAACAAAACCAAGCCCGAGGTCGAGGTTTGGGGCAAATGAAATTCACATTACCGACCCGTTTCTTGCAGCTGAAACGGACCATATCATGACGACGCCGAGCCGAGAACGGACGGCGCGGAAGCTGCTCCAGCAACCATCGCACCACCCACCGGTTGGATCAAGCGCTGCCAAGCGCCTCATGTACGAGAAGCAACGCGAAGACGGATGGAACAACCACTTCCTCGAGCCTCTCGTCCACGACAAGGTGCGTGTACCAGCCATGACGATCTCGTAAGTGGCGTAATTAGCCACGGGTTGAGCCTCGGCCACCACCACCAAAGCCACCGAATTCCCGACAATTCTCCGAGTACCCGTCGTCGCGCAAGCAGCGCAAGACGCATTTGCCCCGCAAGACGCCACCTAACGTTCGCTTGCAACCGCTGACGCCAAGTCCGCTCATGGCAAGCCCCCGTGCCCCCGTGGTACTCGGCGCTGAGCGTCCCTTGGCGGCTGACACTAAATTCGCAGGCAAAGTCACCCGAGAAGAGCGATACGCTTCGGCTCAAAGCCATCACCGCGATCGAGTACCGCGAGAATATCATCAAGCAGCTGCACACGATCCTCGCCGACGTACCCACGTCGCCGTCGCGCCACCGCGGCGCCAAAACGATCACGACGACGCAGCGAGACGCAGTTGCTAGCGTGCTCCGCGAGGTCTGGTTTTGCGTATCCTAAGATCCTCAGCAAACGCGTGTAGATGGTCCTGGAGCTTCAAATGGCCGGCATCCGCGTCGTCGAGGCCATCGTCGCGTGGGTGCTGCTCGTGGGTAAATCGGCGCCGTTGCCCCCAGTCTTTCTCTGGCACGACGCCAACTACTTTGTGACGATGCACAGCGACATGGACTTCCTCGGCGACGCCCTCAACGAGCGCGGCCTCAGCTGCGTCGTCGGCGCCAAGAGCACTCGGCAGAACCCGCTGCTCATCGAGCCCAATCAGCGACTCGGTCGAGTCTACGCCGCCCAGTCGATCATCACCGAGATGGTCGAGATGAGCCTCGTCTCGGCGCGCACCAACGCTTCGCCGGACGACGAGAGTGCGCTCACGTTGCTGACAAAGGACGAGCCCGTCGCGTGTAGTGAGGTGGCGATGGACGCGTCCACGGCAGACGTCGAGATCGAGCCCATCGATGAACCCACGGGCGAGCAACCCACGGACGAGCCGCACGACGAAGCCGCGTCTGACACAGAAGAAGAGGCCGAGGAAGCGCACGTCTTTGCTAGCCAGGATCCCGTGCATCTTGAGAATGAAAGCAGCGGCTTGCCGTGCTCAGAGGAAGACGTTGGGAGCCATCCGAGCTTGGAAGCTCAAACCAAGGACGACGAGCCCCACGACGCCAACGACGACGAGAACTATGCAGACGACGATTTCGACGCGCACGACAACCAAGAAAAACCAACTGTGGATGACGCGCCAGTGGATGCGGCGACAGACGAGCCCCCGCCCGAGTCGAGCAATGACTTTCGAATACCGGCCTGGCAGAACGCATGGCTTGCCGTCGGAATTTCGTCGAGCATCGTCGAGATGGCGGCAGCTACGTGCACCGGAGCGCCCTCTCAACCGTTCTGGGTCGAAGCAACCGATGTCTTTCCGGAACTGGCGTCGACGATGCTGACGGCGACGCCTCCTGGCGACCAACATATCCTCTTTGGTGCACTTTTGGCATCCGTCGACGCGGCCGCGATGCCAGTCGTCAACTGTCTCGAAGCCAAATTGTCGGAAACGGTGGATCCTGACAATTACGAGGACACTCTGGAGGCGCTGCGTGACGCTATGGACAGTGCGTGGGCTCCACCATCGGAGACCCAGAGTGCGCTCGACCTTCTAACAGCTCTTTTTGACGCCAAAGCTGCCCTGCCTCCGTCATCGATGGTGTCCAAGCTCGCGCACCTCGTGTTCCCATACTTGATGGCCGCGCCACGCGCCGAGTTGTCGGATTTGTGCCGAGCAACGCTCGAGGCCACGGCGCCAATTGCGACGCGTCCGTTTCTCTGGGACGCGACGGCTAAAGTCGTGCTTCTCATGGCGTCCGTTCAGCCGCCAACGCGGGAGCTCTCGAACCTCAAGTTCGTTGTCGACCGCCGTGCGATGCTCGCCTCGACAACCACCGCGTTGCAAGATCACGACGGCTCGTGGCAAGCCCTTTTCCCCTTCTTTGCAAGCGAGAGCGGCGAGAAGTTCGTGAATCTCCAGCGCGTCGAGGCCGGCGAGGGCCGTGGTCCACTGAAAGAGTGGTTTGCCCTTGTCTCGGAAGCCTGGGCAGCGCCGTTTGTCGCTGTTTTCAGCGGCGACGAGGGATCTATCTCGGTCGACGGCCGGCGTCTCACAGCGCCGCCATCCTACTTGGTGTCGCGCGGCGTTCGACCTGGGTGGCGCCTATGCCTCCAGGCGCAGTCCACATTTGATATCGTGAGTGTGACCCAAGATCAAGCAACCATCGATCCACCGTGGCCTCGTGACGAGGTATCTTTAACGCATACGGATGTCGCATGGCTGGCCCCGACGGTACCGCTCTTCAAGTACGTTCTGGCATCGGAGAGCTACTGGTTCAATGAGCACGCTGTCCCGAGCCCCGACCACAACACTGCGCTCGCCCTCGTCGGCTGGGTTCTCGCCATGGCGCTTCTGCACCAAAGCACAATCTCGCTACGCCTGCACACGGCCGTCTTTTGCTGTCTGCTCTACGAGACACCACCCGACCGCCACCTCTTTGAAGCCGTGGACCCCGCACTTGCGGACGCTTGGCGTGCGCTACACTCGCTGCCCAACTTTGCCGCCGTCCTCGAGATGGACGGGCTTGTCCCCGATACAAATGTCGACGCTTACATTGAGATTCTTGTGCAAGAGAAGGCGGTCGCGATCGAGTGGCAGCTCAATGAGCTCCGTCGAGGCTTCTACCACGCCATGCCAAAGGCGTTTGCATCTTGCGCGTTCACCGGCGCTCAGCTGCAGCACGCGGTGTGCGGTCCACCCCCGAGGTACACATGTGTGTCTCTGGGCAGATGCGCATGATCAAGCGTAGCGAGACATTTATGGTCCGCGACATCTTCAAGGTCGTTACGGACGACGCGATTCCCCAAGCCATGCGAACGGCGTTTTGGTGCGTCGTCGATGGCTTGGCGGCCGCGGAGAAGCGCGCATTCGTCAAGTTTGTCACGGGCGTCGAGGCATTGCCGCCACCGCAGACTGAGGTACGACGCGCCAAATGACACGGTCTGCACGTTGGCGTCGTAGCTGCTTCGACTCGAAATGCCGTGGCCCGTGGCGACGGCGCAAGAGAAGGATCAAGTCGTGAAGCGGCTTCCCCAAGCCCACGTACACCTTATCTACATGCAATGTAGTCGGCAGTGACACGAGATAGACGTGCGAGAATACGCTTGAGCTTCCCAACTACCTCGCTGGCCTCGACGGCGTACCAGAAACCGAGCTCCCAGACACATTGGCGACGCTGCTGCGAGACAAGCTTCTCTACGCCATCCAGCACGGTTGCGGCTTTGATCTGGACGTGGCGGGGTCTATAGCTCCTGCAACCACACTGGAGGACCAAGGCGCCGACGAGTCCAGTGACTCGATGGAGCTGCCGACGCTCGCGGTCGACGAGAGTGCAACCGACATACCTCTGCTACAATCGGACGCACAACCCTCCTCGGAAGAACAACCGACCAGCACTCGCAACGACACAGCGGACGTCGCCCTTCAGCCCGAGCACGCGAGGGCTAGCGACGAGCACGACGACGAGTACAGCTTTGAGGACTTCGACGATGACGCCGTGTAAATAGACAAGGGCGTTGTTATCGCTGAGAGTTTTGGCGCTTGGACCTTCCATCCACCGTGTTCATGGCTGGTGTCAAAGCCATGTGAGTGATGGTGGACGGGCGCGGCCGTGGCGCCAACGTCAAGCGCCCGGTTGAACAGTGCTGGAAAGTGTGATTGGCCAGCTGGTCATCCTTCCGGAATTATCATCACCTTTTTGGCCTCAAGATCTCCATACCGGTGGGATAAAGCCTTTTTAAGCAACGAAATCAGGCTTTAGCCTGGACAAAGGCGCCCAGTTGCTTACCACTGCTTTCGACTCAATCAAATTGCGGTTGGTGACGATGAGCATCCCCATGGACGACGATGCGAGCGTCTTTGAGAAGCTGCTCGATGAGATCTGCTACCGCCCGTCGGCCTCGACGATCCCCGCCCACATGGTACGTCAACCTCGCCATGCGTATGCTCATGGTGCTCCGTAGGCCTCGTGCGTCGAGAGCTTCCAAGTCGCGCCGACGGTCAAGAAGACGGCCAACCAGCTCCTGAGCACCGTGTCGCGCTGCCAGCATCGGCTGAGCGCCAAGCACCTCCTTGCGCTCCTTGGCATGTTTGTCGCTGCGGACGATAGCTTTGCGACTGCGTTCGCCGAGCGCGTCGTGGCCCGTGCCAAGAGCTTCGTGTACCTTTTCCCGACGGCGCGGACAACGCTCGTGCGCATGGTCGCCCTCGTGCTCGCGGCCCCGACCTTTGACACAGCTGGCCTCAACGGCCTCGTGCAGGCGCAGTGCATCATCCTCGAAGCCAACCGCGCGTTCCCCGAGACGCACGCAGCGCTGCACAAGGCCATCGTGCCGCTCTGCAAGACCCGCCCCGAGATCCGCGCGGCGTACGTCGCCCTTGCGACCGCGACGACGGGCGATGCCAAGTTCCTTCTCGCGCGTCTTCTCCTCGAGGTATCTCCGGACGGAAACTCTACGGTGCTAAAGCTGTCTAGGCCTTTCTCCCGACCTTCTCGGCCGACGAGCACGCGCTCTGGCTCGGAAGCTACGTCCATCAGGCGCTCGAGGCCAAGGTCCGCCCGACGCACGCCGACCTCGACGCGTACGCTTCGCTGACTGCGACGCTGACTGCCGCCGACTTTGAGGCGACGATCTCGCCCGTGCTCTCGCGCATGCTCAAGCGGTCGCCCGACTCGCTCCTGGACGCGACCGTGGCCATTGTCCGCGCGCTCCCGACCAAGATTGACCTCAGCGCGTATGTCGGTTCGATCTTTGGCGCGCTCTTCCCCGCCAAGCTCAAGTCGGTCAAGGACGACGTGCGTGAGGCGTGCATCCAGCTGCTCGCGGCCGTCGTTGCGCGCTGCAGTGACGCGACCGCCGTCACGTCCATTGTGGCGGACCTCGTGGGCCTCCTCGACGGCAAGTTTGGCCTCTTGGCGCAGTTCTACATGCGCGACGCAGTCTTCCAGAGCCTTTTGCATGTCGCCTCGGTTGTGGGCAAGACGCTCGGGTCCACGGCCGCGCGCTTGCTTGCGTCGGACCTCGTGCTGCCTGGCATCCCCAAGGCCATCGCCAAGGAAGCCAACGACGTCGTGCGCAACACGGCGCTCTGGACGCTCGGCCAGTGGCTCTCGCTGCACACGCCGTCGACATTGGCTCTCTCTCGCGAGATCCAAACGCTCTTTGAGACAGGCCTTGCGAGCAAGACGGAGGCCGTCGTCGTCGCGTACGCGCGGTCGCTCGTTGTCGTCTCACGCACGCACCCCGAGATCCTCGTGCCATTGGCGCCGCGCCTCGCCAGCGTCGTTGCCGAAGCGCAAAAGAAGCCCAACGTCGCGCACCTCGACGGCGTTCTCGCGCTTGTGGCGCTCACCAACATTGGCCTTTCGGCGCCCGAGGTCCACGACGTGAACGCGCTCTTGTCGGCCACGACGTTCTTCAAGACGTCGGTGGTGCTCCTCGGCCAGCAGCTCCAGCTTGGCGCGAGCCTCGAGTCGCCTGACGAGACTGCGCTCAAGGGGGTCGGCGAGACACTCGTTCGCGTCTGGCGCGAGGTACCACTCGAGTTTCCACTGTTTGCATCTCACACTGAAACTAGGCGCCGCAATCGGACGACGTGTCGAGTCTGTCGCTGCTCGTGGGGCTTCTCCACCACCGCGTTGCGAGCGTGCGCGACCACTGCGAAAAGCACGTGCGCGAGCTCGTCGCGGACCAGCTCTGGACCGCCCAGCCGCTTCTCGAGGCGTTTGCGCAGGCTCTTTTGACGCTGACGCCGTGGTCGGCCAAGCGCGCGACGGACGACGCCGACGCGACTGTCTACAATGCGCCGTCGACGCAGTCGTCGCTCGCCGGTATCCTCCGCCGCAACCTGCGCGCGATCGTGCCGGCACGTCTCTTGCCCGAGACGCACGAAGCCGAGATCGTTGCGCTCTTCCCGCGCCTTCTCGTGCTCTCGCACCACCCGCTCGTCGTGCACGGCGCGCGCAAGGACGCCTTTGCGAGCGAGTGGACGCGCCTCAAGGCCCGCTTCGTCTCGGAAGCCGACCTCGCGCCGCCGGCCGCCAAGGCGCCCAAGGACGAAAACGACGACGACGACGATGAAGAGGACGACGATGAGATGGTGCCCACGGTGCACGACCACGTTGACGATCTCTTCTACTCGGTGCCGGGTCTCACGGACGCCACGGTCGCGTACCTCGAGGCCAAGCTCTACGCTGCGTCGCGCCTCGAGCGTGTGAGCGCCCAGCGTGCGCTTGTGACGCTTCTCGAGTTTGCCGGCAACGGCTTGGGCGAAGCGCTCGTCTTGAGCAACCTTATCCAGTCGCACGTGGCCACGACGCTCGAGACGCCTGCGATCGCCAATGTCTCGGACGACGACGTTGACATTTACTGCACGCCGGACGACACGCTGTACACCAAGGCCAAGAAGAAGGCCGACAACGTGCCTCGTCACCGCGGCCGCGGCACCGAGGACGAGCGCTGGGAGGCGCAGGTCCGCGAGGAGCTCGCGCGGAAGCGCGCCGCCGACCCGAACGCGACGGCCAAGAAGGTCAAGTACACCAAGGAAGAGCTCGAGACGCTTCAGCAGCAGAAGGAACTGCGCGGCCGCCTGCGCGAGGCCAAGCACCTCGTCGCGTGTACGGACGAGCTCCTCGCGTTTGTCGCGCGCGCGACGCCCGAGGCGTTCCAACCGGCGCTGCCGCACTTGGTGGCGCCGATTTTGGCGCTGCTGCCGAGCCCGATGTTTGCGGACTTTGCCTTCCGCGGCCTCACGCACCTCGGCAAGTGCGTCATGCCCATGAACCTCCGCGCGCATGCGTCCGAGCTCGCGTCGGCCCTGCACATTGCGCACGGCATCACGCCCGAGACGGCCAACCTGCTCAGCGAGAACATGCCGCTCTTTGAGCGCCTCTTTGGCCTGCTCTCGACCAACGTCTTTGGCTCGGTCCTCGAATCGGAGGACGAAGTCGACTTGGCGGACGAGTACCATTTGCTGACGCCGTCGACGCTGCACATGGTGTTTCCGATCCTCCGCACGTTCTTGGAGTACTCGATGGCTTGCCGGCAGTTTGTGTTGCCGCTCTTTGCTGTCCACGCCAAGATGATCAGCCAGGAAGAGGAGCTCGAGGTCGGCGATATGGCGGCCCAGCGCTTGTTGCGCAAGAGCATGCTCGCGGTCACGCTGGCGTGGATCGAGCACGATATCAAGGAGGAGATCCCGGCGTCGGCCAACCTCTCGCCCGACGTTGTCTTGCAGCAGATCTGCGCCGGCGCGCCCTTGTCGTTGGACGAGTGGGCGCCGATCGTCGGCGACCACGGTTTGCTCTCGACGCTCGTGCAGGCGCGCCATGCGTGCCTCAAGGCGACGCTCGCCATGGTCGAAGCGCAATTTGACGATGAAGATGAGGACGAGGACGCCGAGAACGCCAAGGCGACGTTGATTGCGTCGACGCCGATGCTCTCGACGATTCTGTTTGTCGCTCGCTTTGACAACGACGCGGAGAACAAGACGCTGGCCGAAGCCATCTGGCCGCTCTCGGACGCCGCACTCACCAAGGAAACGGTCATGGGACCTATCTTGCTGCCCCTGCTTCGCCACGCGCACGCCAATGTCCGCGACGCTGCCGCAGCTGCGTTGGCCACCGGCATGAAGCAGTTCCCCGACACGATCGCGCCGACGCTCAAGGGTATTCAGTCGGCCTTCTTGCAGCACGTTCCGGCCAAGGGCGACGCGGATGCCAAGCTCGATGCGTTTGGCGCGCCGGTCGTGCGCCGCCACAACGACATGGACGCTGACGAGAGCATGTCGACGGTCTTGCCGCGTCTCGGCGCCGGCGCGTGCATGGAGCACTGCGCCAAGACGGAGATCCTCTCGCGCGACCACGTCATGAGCTGCGTCCAGTTCATCCTCTCGTTTGGCCTTGGCGACATGCACCACAGCGTCCGCGCATCCATGCGCAAGGCCGGCGTCCAGATGATGGACTCGTATGGTGCGGTGTACACGAACGGCCTCCTCACGCTTCTCGAAGCGCGAATCGAAGCGCCGGCAGCGAATGCGTCGCCCAAGGAGCTCGAGGCGTACGACCACAAGCGCGAAGGCGTCGTTGTCTGTCTCGGGTCGCTCGCCAAGCACATGGACAAGGCCGATCCTAAGGTCTCGTCGATCGTGCACCAGCTTCTCGCGTCGCTCTCGATCCCGTCTGAGGCCGTCCAGCGCGCGATTGCGACGTGCTTGTCGCCGCTCATGCTCGCGGTCAAGGACGAGAGTCCGTTGATTCTCGACGACCTTCTCACCAAGGCGACGACGGGCGAGACGTTTGGGGACCGCATGGGCGCCGCGTTCGGTGTCTCGGCCGTCGTCAAGGGCCTTGGTATCGCCGCGCTCAAGCAGCATCTGGTCATTCCGCGCCTCGAGGAAGCGATGAAGATCTCCAACCCGAACGCGCGCCAAGGCGCCTTGTCCGTCATGGAGTGCCTCTGCGAGCGCCTCGGCTTCCTCTTCGAGCCGTACGTGATTGTGATCCTCCCGATTCTCCTCAAGTCGTTTGCGGACACGAGCGCGGCCG